TGTACGAACCTTAATAATAAACTCGCTCAGGTAAAGGTTTAATTCCGCAGAAGGAATGTCCTCAATGCTTCTAGTAGTTTCATTCTTGCTACTAAGAAACTCATTTAATAATGATAGATTTTGTTCAGTTTTTCTCTTTGTGTTTTCATTTTCTTGTTGTTCGATGAATTCGTCGACAGAAATGTCAAGGTCTGCAAAACGGAAAGCCATTTATAATATTTCGAAGCGATTGACTGAGCGAAGCGTTGGCCGGTAATTGGTGGGAAAATTCGATACTTTTTTTTTCACATGTGAGAAAAATCATCTGCGATCTCTGATTGGACGGACGATTTTTTTCACATGTGAGGAACATCATCTCAATTACGCAATGCATCGTAGATGAGTTTTATCTTGGCACTTGCCGAGTGTGAATATTACGGTATGTATATAATAAAAATACATAACTACACTACTGTGAAATTATTTGTGAGGTTCAGATTTGACCTCCACCACCACCAACCACCACTAGTTAGAAACCACTAACCACTTACATGCAAACCAGGTCAGCACGAGGTAGTGATAACGGTAATGGAAGTAAAAAATTACTCCAGCCATTTTACACCAGACTTTAGAATTTAAAATGTACTGTTCGTGCATTGTAAATATAAGGTCAATTAATGGTTCTATTAATTGCTTAAGACCATTAAGCTTGAAAATATCTTTCAATTCCCTTTGATCAGTTACTTTGTTGTAATTACAGTTAAAGTCCTGTGTGATTAAACTTTCTTTGTTTTCTGCTTAGGCTGTGGTGACCCTGTCATGAAATAAAGCATTACAATTCTTGTCAAGATGGTGTGATGATTCAGATGGCCTATAAGTTATGTTAATCAAGATTGATTTTGAGTGTTTTATAGACATTTCAATCCAAATAGCTTTGATTTCCTGGCACTCGAGATCGTAACGCCTGTTCCAATAATTAAGATCATCTCTAATAAACATACAGACACCACTGCCTGAACCAGAGGTTCTAATCCGTCTTATTGCTGTGTAACCGTCAATAGCTATTTCTGCATCAAGAATACTATTATCAAGTTTTTTCTGTGTAATTGCCATGTACATGTATTTGTCTAGATTCACCCAACAATATTTTTATATTGTTCAATTTGTTTATATGACCGTTTACGTTTTGGTGCAATATTTTCAATCCTTTGTTTGAGAAAAGCAAACAGATTTTTATCATCAGACCAGTTAACAGTAATGCCAGTGTCCGATTCAGTGTAACATACCTTGCAGTAAAACATTTCTCCATTGTATTCGAGCTTGTCTAGCATACAGCTTTCATGAAACCTTTACCATACTAGCTTTCATGAAAGTTGTTACAGGAAGTCTGCCAGTAGAATAGTTGAATTTGTGGCAGTTAAAAAGTCTAATTGCTGCCCAATAAATTTGTGAACTAGCCCCCATTTAACCAGGGCCAGAGGTAAAAGAAATAACTAAACTCCTGCTGCCGAACAAAAATATATAAATATTCCATAGTAATAATACACACAAATACTAAAAGTAATAATACAAAAGTTAGAAAGTAAATCATTAGTGTTACTTAACGTCTTCAAGAATCGGCATCCTCATTGACTTCAGTATCCTTGGAATATAACAGACCACACTTGACTAGGTCTTCTTTGTGTTTAATATGATAAACTCGATGATCCGTTCTCACAACAACAGTACCACTGACTGAATAGACTTTGATTTCAGACAAACAATTTGCTTTAGTATACAATACTAGCTGGTGATTTGATTTTGTCAGATCTTCATTGATATAAATTTGTTTGTCACCAAGATTTCTTCTAGCTTTCATAAATTTCATTTTAGCACGTACTATATAACACCTTAATTTGACTATCATAGCTTGTGGGGCAGGCTTTGGTTGACATGCCTGCTTTTATGATACAATTATATAATTTATTGTATTTTTCATTTATATATAAGTTGCTGTGTAATAATTATGATATGGCTTTCAGTTTTAACTGATTAAAGACGGGGTTTACTGTCCGTTCTTCCCCCTTTCCATTTTTTGTTTTGTTTTGGTGTCTACTACTCTACTCATCTCTCATTTCCATGGTTTCCAGTCTGATTGCATATTATAATATAAGTGTGATATAACAGACGATTTGATTGGCTAATGTGTGTGCATTGTGATGCAATAATGCACTGTGATCTGTGGCACTGCTTTGCTCTTTCTCTGTTTTTTCCCCTCTTCCTCACCGCTTTTTAGCCAAAATTATACACAAAATTATAGAGCTTTTAAAATACAAAATTTACCAGAAAGCAAGAAGGAATAAACCAAAGGAAAAAAGCAATTTTCTATAGTTCTACTTATAAAATTAACCGGCTTGGCATTTGTCGAATTTGTTGTTGTCTCGACAAGTTTTGGGAAAAAGCGTACAAAATAGTCGAGAAAAAAACTTGAAAAAGATACAGCTGGAAGACCAAATACATTCAAAAAGGCAACAAAAACTGAATACAAGTGATTTAGAAAGTACCGTCAATTCTTCTGATAATAACTGCTAGATATATTTTCGGCAAAAGACAAAAAATACAATAATTTCGAAAATTTAAAACGTAATAAACACGACGAAACCTACGATTTACCGTCTTTCATGGCAAATTCAGCAGCCCAGATGCTGAAACTTTGGCAAATTAGTCTGTGTGTCACTGCTTTTTTATTTACACTATTTTAAACAATTTTTCCGGCTTTATAGCATCAAACGTTTGTATATTGTTTTGGCAATTTTTATTCTTCGCTCGCTTAAAAATTCAAGCGACAGTAAAAGCATGCCTGTGACGTCACTGAGTACATGATAGGAGAATTTCAACGTCAATCTTTTGAGTAAAATTGTTTACTATGTAATATCTTCTACTTATATTTATAAAAGAAATAGAAAAACTCGTCTCGTGCGTTTATGGTGTGATAATGCACTTGGGGAATGTTGGGAGAATACTCGAGAAGCATGTAACACACTCGGCTACGCCTTGTGTTTTACACGCTTCTCTCGTATTCTCCCAACATCCCCCGTGTGCATTATCACACCATAAACGCACACGACTCATTTTCTATTTCTTAAATATACATGCGATTCTATATTGTTGATACAAGGAGCGGGAATACACAGTTTCGAACAGATTTCAATGATTTGTGACTTTTATGAAGTGAAATCTGATTATAATAAATTGAAAGAATATTATGCCAATAAGGATGCCTATAAAGTGAGTTTATTTGAAATTCAGCCAAGTGCTTCATCAACTCAAAGTTATATCTCTCCTATAAAGGTAAATATTTGTTTATATATTTGATTATTTTGTTCTCCAGAGTTGTGACTGCAACTATTTCGCTGTGAATTTGTGACAGTTTTTAAGCTCGGGCAATTATATTCATTTACTGTCGGAGAAAAGATGGGATCTCTGAGTTTATAGTTCAACTTGTTCAAGACATGTATATTTGTAGTACTTCACTTCACTACTAGCTAGATTCAGTCAAGGATAAAACTGATTGCATTTTCATACAGTGAATTATCAAAATGGGGTTGAGTTATTGGAGGACTATTGTTTTGTAATTCATAATCAAGCATATCCTGAACCTTTTGGTAGCAGAATATATAGAATTTTTTTACATGACATGATTGTTGTACTGAATAAAATCTCTTATCTGCATCTATTTGAAAACAATTATGCTGTACTATAGGTTACGTTGAGCTCATGGAAACATTGAAGATTGTACAACACTAAGATCAAATAAACATGGTGATGATGGAGATAACGCAGGGGCAACTGTGGTTAACAGCCATAGTGGTTAACAATCAGAAACAAATTTAAAGAGAGGAATAAACATAGAACAGTACAGATTGGATGCTGATGAAACAAAGATGGAGGAATGCATCTAACAATTCACATTACACAAGTCGAAAAGATCACAAGTATTGTTTATGAGTTGGAATAATTTGATTGACTTGGGAATATTATCCACCTGGTTGAGAGTCAGAAAATTATGTCCTTAAATAGCAACCTATAAAATGTTACCCTTGTGAAGTTAGCTGACAATAGCGCAGCTTACAAATGGCCTGACAATGAAGCTACTACAATCAGACAAATTTACTCGGACAAACATGGCAAATAAATTATTTTTTGAAACCTTCTCATATATACTTCGTAAAGTCAGTCCCTCCTCCCCTGAAACAATGTTGATGAACACTTCAGTTATCATGGCAACTATTGCGGTATTTGTACCAACAACATTGTAACGGGGGAGTGGGGAATACGGTTGGATATGCGTATAAATATTTGATTGCCTTAAACTTCAGCCATTTTTAATCAGCGTCCACGTGTTATTTGTCTAGGATTGTCTGAAAAACTGTCGGTTGTATAAAGCATGAATTATTGTACATTTTTAGCTCATTGTCACATTTTATAAATACTGAAGTTCTATAGACACCTATATAAGATATTATATTAAAATATGCAAAACATTTTAATAATTACAGTTACTTGATTAGATTGTTGGCGTCATATGATTAACGTAATATGCATATAAATCGTAACATGGCGAGAAAAGTATGTGCGGGTACAAGAGGTTTAGCTCGTTTCTATAGAGAATATACAGGTACGAGTTATCACCAAATAGCCGTTCGATGTGGAATATCAAAATCAACAGCGCACACAATATGTTGGAAGCAAATTAACCGTGTCAGTACATGCGTCCGCAAGCCAAAAGGTCGTCCAAAATCTTTAAACGAAAGGGATGAAAGACTTCTACTTAGAGTTCTAAAATATTATAGAAGAGAATACGTTAACTACTCAGTAAAATATCTAATGGTAGAATGTAGATTTGACTCACAGAGAGTGCATCAAAGAACGGTTTCCAGATACCTTAACCGAAACAGCTTCTACACGAGGCAAGCAAGGTTTTTCCTACGCGCGTGAAATGACAAGATTTTTACGTGACCACCCAGATCACAACACTAATCATGTCGCTTTCTATCTGGATGCAGTATCATTTGTACACAAGAACGACCCTCATAAGGCAGCAATTCAACCGAAATCGCGAATGTGGAGAAAGAAAGGTGAAGGGCTTGCCGTCACTGCGAAAGGCAGCAAAACTCTGGCAGGTGGGAGATGCCTTCATGTTCTTGCAGCCATCACTTGGGGTAAAGGGTATCATCCTCAGCCAGGTGTACGATAAAATGAATGGTGATTTTTTAGCAGAATTTATCCAAAATAACTTTAATTTGTGTTTTGGAAAAGCAGGACCTAAAACCGGAAGAAAGAGATTGCTGGTCATGGACAATGATCCTTGCCAAACAAGCAAAAAAGCTATGTTAGCTTTAACACAGATTGAGTGTGATCTTCATCGCATTCCACCGCGTTCTCCAGATATTAATCCTATCGAGAACATGTTTCATTTGGTGAAAAAAAATACTGCATAGGGAAGCGATAGAACAGAATATCACTAAAGAATCCTTCAATGCTTTTAAGACGTGTGTCCTGCGTTGTCTCAACACATTTAAAATCATGATCAATTGACAAAACAATTGGGAGCATGCCAAAACGAATAGACGTTTCCCCTTTTAGCAGCACGCGCGCAAAGCATCCCGGTAGTTGATTATCAAAGTCAATTTGAGTTGTCATGGCGAAGTGTTCGGGAGCGATGTTTTCCTGAAGGAAATCTTGTTGATTTTCCGCCTGTTTTATCTAACCTTAAAGGATAAAAACCGTGTCTTGAGAAAATCATAACTCCTTGCTACATGTAGACGGAAAGGTAAAGGAATCGGGGTTTGTTTTAGTGAGAAAAACGGCTTTTTAATCACCAAGGAGCGACAGTTTATTCGACGAAAATGGCCTTTGAATCTAGGTTCATTTCACTTGCAGTCGGTGAGTTATGGTATTATGTAGCAATCAAAAGATTATTTTGATATGTCAACAGTCCCCTACATTCTGTCTTTCAGTATGAATAATTTTAGACTCGCTTACTCATTTTCTCGTACATTTTTTGTTCCTTAAATACGGCATGCGCTTTCAACTTTTCGGCTTGCGCTTTCAACTTTTCGGCTTTCATTTTATACATATCTAGGCTTGCTTGTAGTTGTTTGGCTTTGCCTATTTTGGCGCAAAAATTACAAACATTTGCAGCCAATGTTGCAGTTTTAGTCTACGGCCGTCATATTTTCGCTTGTTTTCTGGAGTTTTGCTTGTTTTTGTCTTGCAAACCTTTGTAAAGTCTTGGTTGTTATCTTCTTGTATTTGCCAGAATTAAAGTAGGTTCTGAAATTGTTCTAAAATTCGAAAATAATTTTATTTTTGGTCACAAAACTTAAAAACCCAGTTTTGTGCACAAATTTTGTAAACATTAAAACATAGATTGCTTATAAAAATGTAGGTGAGTTTTACAGGTAGAATTTTTCAAATTGAAATAGGGAATTAATACAGTACATTAATAATATAAATACAGTTAAATTTGATATTAAGTAGTAAAATATACTGTATCTATAAAAATATACAGTTATAATAATAGGACATAATTCATAAATAAATATATCTGGCAAAATGGAGATGAACCTAGCACCTCAAAGAGTGCAAACAATACTCAAACTATGCTAGAATAAATAAATTCTGCGAGCTAAACAAAGCATGGCAAGCCTAGGTTATTATCTCGTCAACAAGAATTGTTTATGGTGCCAAGCTGAATGCACTGTGGGTTGTTGGTGGAGGTTGTGGCACATAGATTTGCTTTGTCCACTTCACACGTGTCACAAATTTGGATAACATGGATTAAATTTTACATCAAAGATTACTTGCCCTACCAATTTGGCCAAGCCGAGAGTTTGTTGACACAAATATGCTGGGTTGTTTCAGAAAAAATTATCCCACAACCAGAGTAGTTCTAGATTGCATGGAGCTCTTTATTGAACATCCATCATCATGCAGGGACCAGTCTGCTACATTTTCTTCATATAAAAACCAGGGATGGATTTACTCTATCCCTGGCCAGAAGGTGATATTTTTTATGATAAAGCAAAAAATAATAGACAAAATGAGATACAGTAATTTGAGCAATAACGTTATGATACAATTACAAATTATTCACATACAGTATGTTGGTGAGCGGGCGACACACATGACCGACACAACTGGTCACCAGAGCCGGCAGAGCACTGCCCCCCCCCCCCCTACCAGATCATTCTGCATCCAGCTTTTATAAAAACCATAACACGGTGAAAGGGTTGATTGGAATCTCCCCTAGTGGGTATCCTAGCTTTGTTTCCTCCTTTTATGCTGGTCGAACCAGTGACAAAAAGATAACTAAAGATAGTGGGATACCAGATCTACTTGAACCTGGCGATCAAGTCATGGCAGATCAAGGCCTTAAGAGTGATCTCCCTTCTGGAGTCACTCTTAACATTTCACCTTTCTAGGATGGAAAAGATCAGTTGTTCAAGAGGAGTTAACAACAAGAAAAATAGCATGAGTTAGGGTTCATGTTGAGAGGGCTATTGCACAAATTAAAAACTACAGAATTTTATACCATGTTGTTCCAATAACACCTGCAAAAGGCCTGGATAAAATTTGGGCAATTTGCACTTATTTGACATTGTTTTTACGTCAATTAATTGTTGAACAGAAGTAAACACACACATTATTTATTAGTTTGATAGGGCTTTGTTAGCACATCATGAAAAGTAATTTCAAGCCTTTAATTAAACACAGCTTCATAAGTTTCGACGTTAAGGTTTTAGTATGACATATTGTACAGTATTTGTCTAAGTGATGATTCTGTTTGAAACAGATGTGCACTATATACATGACTATAATTCTGCATGTTTACTAAGTTTAATAACATAATTATTTATTTTTGAAACAGATACTCAAAGTACTGTAATACTCAACATATGCATGAAACCCTTATTATTTTACCAATATCTGTAAAATTTAGGCCTATAAATTCTATTCAATTCCCTCTGGAAGCCCTGGAAGCTACTTGATAACTCTACATTCTATCATTTAAAATCTTTCATTGCCCTGCCAATCCAGATGATTTGCCCTGCCAATCCAGATGATTTGTACTTTGGGGGGTGTCACCCCCCCCCACCCACCCTCAAGTTTCGTCCCTGAATCCGACCACTTGAGCGCAAGTGTGGCCAAGCATCCTTGTACTTGATAGTAGTAACTGTGATTTTGTTGTCCTTTACCGTCAACTTTAGAGAGGAAAAAAATTCTTGTCATCACAAGCCTCATCTGTTGTGTTATTTCACTTGCAGTATGGACAGTTGAATCATGAATAAGAAAATCAGGGCTGGCCCCTAACCATGCAAGGCGATGTTTTGTCAACAACAAAACCGCACAGCGAACAGACATTTACACTGTTTAGTTTGTGTGAAACACTCTGCTTCAATGCCTCGGTTTCTTTTTGTTTCCCCCATCTACACAGCATAGGACATGATGTTGACTTAGTACTGCTTGTAAGTGTTTTAATTATTGATTTTGGTAAATTGATTTTCTGCTTTTGATAACCAATTACCAAAATTTGTTTGTCTACAAGTCAAGTGTTTTGAATAGCTTCAAGCATGACCACAATAGATAGATATTTGTATAAAGAATACTAATTAATAGGATGGACTTTTATATAAACAATACTAATGAAGATGAGTTTTATCAGGTATAAAGCCTCTTCATGTGACATATTATGGTTGACATGACTTGCCGATAAGCTTACCAATTATTAATGACTGTTTGAATTGTACATAGTCAATAATTTGATACAGCATAGCAGCAACATGTTTACATTGGCCTCCCTTGCCCGCCTTACATGAACAACGACCATGAACAACATCACCATTTACTTGATCCAAGTGTACATAAACAACATAACTAAGCTTCTTCATTGATGCATGCACTGGTACAGTAGCTTTCAGTATAAATGACTTTCTGCTCACACTGTTTGGAATATTAGGCTTTGCTTGAACATTGCTAACATGTCCTTCTTTAAACAGAAAATAGCCTAACTTCGCATCTTTCTTAGTATCAGTTGAATTTTGTTGAGAATCCAGGCCCAAGTGTTTTTGAAGTTTATTGTTGGTGAATGGAGGAAGTAACTTCAGATCCCTAGTCCATGGTTGAGTTTCTACTTGAGTATTGTTTGCATTCTTTGAGGTGCTAGGTTCATCTCCATTTTGCCAGATATATTTATATAAGAATTATGTCCTATTATTATAACTGTATATTTTTATAGATACAGTATATTTTACTACTTAATATCAAATTTAACTGTATTTATATTATTAATGTACTGTATTAATTCCCTATTTCAATTTGAAAAATTCTACCTGTAAAACTCACCTACATTTTTATAAGCAATCTATGTTTTAATGTTTACAAAATTTGTGCACAAAACTGGGTTTTTAAGTTTTGTGACCAAAAATAAAATTATTTTCGAATTTTAGAACAATTTCAGAACCTACTTTAATTCTGGCAAATACAAGAAGATAACAACCAAGACTTTACAAAGGTTTGCAAGACAAAAACAAGCAAAACTCCAGAAAACAAGCGAAAATATGACGGCCGTAGACTAAAACTGCAACATTGGCTGCAAATGTTTGTAATTTTTGCGCCAAAATAGGCAAAGCCAAACAACTACAAGCAAGCCTAGATATGTATAAAATGAAAGCCGAAAAGTTGAAAGCGCATGCCGTATTTAAGGAACAAAAAATGTACGAGAAAATGAGTAAGCGAGTCTAAAATTATTCATACTGAAAGACAGAATGTAGGGGACTGTTGACATATCAAAATAATCTTTTGATCGCTACATAATACCATAACTCACCGACTGCAAGTGAAATGAACCTAGATTCGAAGGCCATTTTCGTCGAATAAACTGTCGCTCCTTGGTGATTAAAAAGCCGTTTTTCTCACTAAAACAAACCCCGATTCCTTTACCTTTCCGTCTACATATAGCAAAGAGTTATGATTTTCTCAAGACACGGTTTTTATCCTTTAAGGTTAGATAAAACAGGCAGAAAATCGACAAGATTTCCTTCAGGAAAACATCGCTCCCGAACACTTCGCCATGACAACTCAAATTGACTTTGATAATCAACTACCAGGATGCTTTGCGCACGTGCTGCTAAAAGGGGAAACGTCTATTGAGGAAATTAGATCCTCAAGAGGGAAATGATCGAAATACTAAAAACAGTAACTTTGAATTATATTAACAATTAGTGTCATATAATTATTTAGGCTACTGTTATACGGATAATAGACAGTGCTCAAAATATTTTACACACACTATAGCCTGTATATATGCTTAATGAGCATAGTGAGCATGTTCCGATAATACTCTTAATGTGTAAATTTTTAGCACAACATTGAAGATCATGGCAAAGATGGTAGTTTGTCGTGTCATGCAATCGCTGTTCTTATTTTTGATTATTGCAAACTTTATTTGTAATAATTCATTGGAATGTTATCACGAAGGACAAGAATACAGTGCTGTAAATTATTCGATAAAGAATGAGTTTGCAGTTGGTAAGAAATTACAAGACCTATACGATATGACATTTCAAGACGTTCGAAATTACAAACTGCTTCGTTGAAACCAGGACAGTCAACCTCGAATAAAATCTCTACAGTTATGAACATATCTCGCCATTTTATGTTGGCGATGCTTATCGAAAGATGCAGAGATATAGCTCTAAACCCGGGTCCTGTTGGTAAGTGTTTGACTTGTAAAGGAACAGTTAGAAGGAATCAAATATCGGTAAACTGTAATGTATGCAATGGTTTGCTTCATGTGAAATGTTGTGATCTAACTGATAAAGCGGGCCCGATTTGTCATACTTGTTTTCCCAACAATAGTACCTTGAACAGTGACACGACAGGATATTCTAATTATATCGTCGAAGATTTACAAAATCTGATTTCCAAACGTGGCTTAACTATTTGCCATCAAAATATCTGCGGACTGTCTAGAAAAATTGACTCCCTGTGTGTTCTCCTTGATTCACATAAAGGAATTCATATCCTTGGTCTTGGCGAAACACATCTTTATGACGACGTGTATGACAATGAAATAGAAATAGCTGGCTATAAGTTATTTAGAAAAGATAGATCTGGTAATAACTATGGTGGGATTGTTGTTTACTTGAGGGATACAATAAATGCTATTTCACAAACATTAATGAGGCATGGGGTAACTGGAAGTCAAAATTTCTATCAGCTGTGGATAAACATGCACCATTAATCAATAAGAAAGTCAGGGGTAGAGAAACATCATGGATAACCAGTAAAATTAAGGACAGCATGAGGGAAAGAGATCACTTTCTTACTAAAGCAAGATCGAGTAAGTCTGAATTGGACTGGAGTAAATATCGAAATATGAAAAGCAAAAGGCTGGTACTATAGAAACCTATTGGAGGAAAATCTTGACAATCCAAGTAAATTCTGGAAAGCCGTTAAAAAGCTTGCCCCAAACGAATAGTCATCTACCAAAGTTAGCACCACCCGAATTAAGTATGATGATAAACTAACCGAAGACAATTACACAACAGCTAACGCTTTCTGTAATTTCTTTTGTAACTTGGCCAAACGAATGAACAACAAATTAAACGATTGTTCCTGTACTCTAAATATTATTCATCATGCCAGATCTGTGAATATATTTAATATTACTCCGGTGCTTCCCTTGTCTATATTATGCCATCTTACATCGATTAAGGTATGCAAATCCAGTGGAATTGACGCTATCCCAGCAAAATTACTACGAGACGCTGCATCAGAAATATCGGTTTCCCTAACTGGTCTTATTAATCTATCATTATTTCTTGGGAACATCCCTGACGAATGGAAAGTGGCGAAGGTGATACCTATTTACAAGTCCGGAACGCATGATAATCTGGAGAATTATCGACCTATTTCCATCCTTCCAGTCCTTTCAAAGATGTTGGAAAGAGAAGTGTATACTCAGCTCTATAGAAATATTGATATTAATAACCTACTTTCGCCATTTCAATTCGGCTTTCACAAGAACTATTCTTGTGAAACAACTGTTACTTATTTTACCGATAAAATTAGAAAAAAACGCAGATAGTGGACTTCTAACTGGTGCAATTTTTATTGACATTAAGAAGGCATTTGACACGGTAAACCACAAGAATTTACTGAGGAAATTATACAGATTTGATCTGGAAGATAAAGAACTTGATTGGTTTGAGAATTACTTGACGGGACGTACTCAGCGTCTCTCTATTTAAGGTATCTTGTCTAACTTTGGTGAAATTACAGCTGGTGTACCACAGGGGTCCATTTTGGGCCCACTGCTGTTCGTAATTTACATCAATGACCTTCCATCTGTTCTATCAAACTCTGAGATCCTAATGTACGTTGATGATACCGTGATATTCCGTGAGGGTACTGAAGTATGGAAAATGTAAATTTGTGGTTTAAAGATAATAATATGCTACATATGCATAATGATAAAACGAAATCTGTTCTATTTGGAACAGTTAAACGCCTTTCAATGAACGATGAGCTAAGAATTGACCTACAAGGAAAACCTATCAAAAACGTGACATCCTTACAAAAATCTTGGTGTCTACTTAGATCGAGGTCTATCATTTATTGAACATATAAATCGCCTGAAGATGAAAGTAGCTAAACGGTTAGGTGCTTTGACCAGAAGTAGACCATTTCTAACTAGTTATGCTGCTATTAAAGTCTATACAGCTATGGTACTGCTGGTCTGTGACTACTGTGATGTTGTTTGGGACACTCTCAGCGACTCACAGCAACACAAACTAGAAAAACTACAAACAAGAGCAGAAAAAATCATAAATATGTATCAGTCTTACGAACTAAACATCCACTGGCCTTCGCTAGTTTCTCGCACGAAAATGCATACTGCCATTTTAGTTTTTAAATGTTTAAGCAATAGAGTTCCATCAACTATATTGACTTATCTAATCCTGGCAGATTAACGAGAAACTGCACACATAAATGTGATATTCCTAAAGTTAAACTGGTATTTGACAGTTTGGGCTTTTATGTTAGAGGCCCACAAGTTTTTAACAGTTTGCCTTTGCGTATTCGGGAAGAAAACGTTTTCACAAACTTTAGGAAGAGAGCCATAGACCACTTTAGTAATCCATAGATGATCTTCCTAGCATAGATTATAGTAAACTGTACGATCATTAATTTATTATATTCTGTAAAATCTTCATATAATCTCTTAAAATAAATTTGTAACTAGTTAGTATTCAGGGCTCACATTGATACCAGTTCTTCTGAACTAACGTGACTACCCTGACGAAATAAAGTTGATTTGATTTGATTTAAATCTTTATCTACCCTGCGAGCAGAGCCTTATTTTCATTTCTTCGGCGAGGGGGAAAGGAGAAAATAAGGCTCTGCAGTATTCGTGTTTTGCTTCGTCCAAGATTCTAGACGAAGCAGACCTGTTTATCCGGTATTTAATGTGCGCGGCTACAGTTTGACAGTGAACCGATGACTAAATGCGAGCCAGCGACATAGCCAACAAAACGAAATGGCGGAAATCGAACTATACTTATACGAGTTTGTTGCAAATGAATCAAGTTTTGGCATTTACACACGAAAACTAAAGAGAGTTTTGTTTGAAATTTGATAACATCTTCAAATACCTTACGTTTAATATCATTCTACAATTTTGCGCGAGCTTGAAGTCTTGAACGGATAAGCGAATCAAACAATGGTGAATTTTGATTCGCTAGTAATAAAGGCGGACGTCTGCGAAGACAGGTCTAAAATTTCATATAGCTGTAACTAGGCAACCGACAGAGCATGCGCAATGGAAGCAAGACACGAATACTGCAGAGCCTTATTTTCTCCTTTCCCCCTCGCCGAACAAACGAAAATAAGGCTCTGCTCGCAGGGTAATCTTTATCATAATCTGCTTTGTTATATCTGTGGCCGTATTGGTTATAATGGAGGTTACGTGCTAACTTATATGGTAAACAAAATATTTCGCTTTTCGGACTTCTCGGTGGACGGTAAACACACGCCACAAAATTTAACCTGTCACTGCCAGACGTCCCAATAAATTTCCATTTCACATGCTTTCTTATAGCCAAATGATCTACATTGTATTTATGATAATACACAGTAAATATTCGGAATAAACAGCAAAATATCACAGTAAACATCCGAGGATTCCCATTATAAATATAATTACTCAATGATTCTTAATTATTCAGCAACTATCGCTTTCAATGTTTACCATGGGCATTTTAAATATATGCGTTTAGAATTAATATATTTTATGATACTATAATCGCATACAGTTTTTACACAACTAGATATAAAATCATTGTCATACGCTTCTCTCTATCATGCGTTAACACATAAAGAGATAGACAAACGCGACGGTAAACGCATCGGCTATTTAGTGAGCATATGACAAACTGGAAGCGAATGCTCCTTTAATCTCTAACGCTCATTTTGCTTTATTACTCTAATACAGTCATAATATAGCATTTGCTAATTTTTTTGACTGTTTTCTAATCCAGAAGATTCATAGTAATATACATTTTCAGACAATCATAGACAAATTTACTTGGACAAACATGGCAAATAAATTATTTTTTGAAACATTCTCATATATACTTTGTAAAGTCGGTCCCCCCTCCACTGAAACAATGTTGATGAACACTTCAGTTATCATGGCAACTATTGCGGTATTTGTACCAACAACATTGTAACGGGGGAGCGGGGAATACGGTTGGATATGCTTATAAAATATTTGATTGCCTTAAACTTCGGCCGTTTTTAATCAGCGTCCGCATGTTATTTGTCTAGGATTGTAGCTTACAATAGCAAAAATCACAATATATACACTTGCATGCTTTCAAAACTTCAGTAATCTCATTCTAACAATGTATTTTAGCTTTTGATATCATATCAAGAACAATTAACAGGCCGGTAACACAAAATATCAACATTTCGAGTGCCAACATTTTTCTTAGTAATTTGTATGCACTAATCAACACTTAGTCTCTGGCAAGCGAATTTCCTTCCATGTAGTGAGCAACGATTTGCGTGCACAGTAGATGGAAAATCTGAAATGGCCATTCCTTTCTAATATAAATTCGACCTAAAACACTTTAGTTAAACTTCTTTAATCAATTAAATATAGTAAAATTTTTATCGCGTTCATACCTCCCAGCTGAACAAGGGTAAATAATGTTAGCCAATCAGCGTGTTTGTTTACATTTTGCGTCCTTGACCAATCAGAATGCCTGAAATTCGAAACATATAAACAAAAGGAGTGAGAGAATAACACCTTGTTCTACGCCCCTCGTGACATTCGATATTAAACTTTTTACTCCAAAACTGAGAAATTCTGATAAAGCATGCTTTCTTCTTTAATTTCCTCGGGGGGATTTTTTAAATTCGATCTAGACTGCGAAATATTTATGTTTGAATAACAATGTTTTAACGCGCGTAAAATAGTATACTCTCACTTGCACTATCTTAACACACACATAAACAAATTGGTAGATTTGGCAGTTTAAACTTATTTTCCCCACACCACAGCCGAAATGTTTTTAAATATTACCTATATCATCTCATCTTGCATCGGAAATGCGTCACAACGATCCAGGACAGTATCGCATGACTCATACCACAGTTAATAAACTGTGCTCATACACACTCATTACTGTACATATCCGGTTGGCAAAATGGCGATTGTCAGACCTTCGCGAAATGCTTATTTTTGCTAACAAACTGTTCACAAGGGTTTCGTTCTGTTCATCTTCTGGTTCATCGTCATCGGCTGCCTCACTTTCTTCATCGCTTTCGTCCTCTCCAAAGCGAGTCGCCGAGGCAAACAGTGTTAATATTTGCTGTCTTTCCAAGGCTTTCCAAGAGCTTCAACATTTGCCAACGTTGTTGCTTGACAAACTGGGCAATCGCTGATGTTGGACAGGATGCATTCGATGTGGAATGAATGTCCACAACCACGGAAAACGTTCCAAGTGGATTAACCTTTTTGCAGGCAGGTGAATTGCATTTTCTATGATGGAAATTTTAAAGTAAGATTTATATTTTATATTTTATACAGATCTTTATAGTCAGTTTGTTCTTGGAAATTGTTCCAAAATATGAGTGTGTAGCAAAGTTAAAATAGTACTCATAATCTCCAGAACATGTTTCAATCACTGCAGTTTAGAATTAGCAGTCCTGAGACAACGGAACTGGCAGCTGTTCATCTGATGTTTCTGATCATTGGCACCCCATATTTATTTAGTGTACAATACCAGTCAATGTAAATTACCACCTCCCCCAACCCAGGAGTTGGTAGTTTTTACTTTTCAGCACTGGATAATCAAAATTGCTGGATTGTATAAATATCTGGTTTTGTCTGAGTGACCCTGCTTTGCCCCATCAACCCCACACTTCCTAGATTCGAGCAGGCAGGGACTTATATTGACTGGTACTTAGTTCAATTGCAGCAATTGGTCTGCCTGTGTGTTATTTTTAAGTGTACCCTGGTTCTAGAGGCTCTTTGCAAGGTGAAAGAAACAAGAGGCAAGAACGGAGAGCCTCTGGTCACATCGATTGCAAATCCTACTTCCAAACTTGACTAGGTTCAGAATTTGGACCTTGGATGTGATTGGCCATTTGTAAACAACCTGTTTAAGAAAAACCTGTTTGGGAAATAAACACTACTGTGAGCTAATTATAGCCTGTATTAAAATATTCTATTAAACTCAACCAAGCATGAATATTAATACTCCTACAGGTGAAAAAGGTATCGAATTTCTCAGGAGATAAACATATTAATCAGTTTTGCAGGACATGTTAGTAATACATGCCCAAGTATGTATTGACTTTAATAGAATATTTTAATACAGGCTATAATTAGTTTACAGCAATGTTTATTTCCCAAACCAGTTTGACATATTTTTACAAATGGCCAATCACATGCGAGATTCAAATTCTGAACCTAATCAAGTGTGGAAGTGATTTGCAATTGATGTCACCCTGGGCCTTACACAGCGGAGGAGAGGGGGCGGCAGGGGGCAACTGCCCCCTAAAGAAAACTGTATTTACAATTTTTAGATTGTCATTATTAATTATTCTTTGCATATTTGGGACTTTTTTCAACATATAAGCCTTACTGCCCCCTTGGTGATACGGCCCTGATGTGACCAGAGGCTCTCCGTTCTCACATCTTGTTTCTTTCACCTCGCAAAGAGCCTCTGGAACCAGGGTACTCTTAAAGTAACACACAGACAGAGCAAATAATATAATGCTTTTAAAAATCTTCAATTTCAAAAGAGGCAGTAAATTGGTAGGGAAATCTTTCAATAATACCCTGTGGTTATGGTAAACTATGTACCAGTACCAGACAATATAAATCCCTGCCTGCTCAAATCTAGGAAGTGTGGGGGCCATTGGGCAAAGCAGGGTCACTGAGGGCCTGTTTATATGATCCTGCCTAGACGGGATGTTTTCATCCCGCCTAGATGGGAAATTCGCCTAGTGTTTATATGGACAAAATACATTGCCTGGATGAAGCCATTTAAGTGAGCTTGACGTCATATTTTTGTTGCAATAAAGGCATTTACGCATGCTCAAAAGGGAAAAGTTCATCCCACCTAGCTGGGATGAAGTGTTTATATGGGAATTTTTCGTCCCAGCTAGGCGGGATGAAGTGTTTGTATGGGAATTTTTCATCTCGTTTTGGCGGGATCCTGGCATCTGTTGCCGAGATCCCGCCTAGGCGGGATAAGTGGCAGGATCATATAAACACTCTTTAGAATTTGTATTATGAGCGGGATCTCGGTAAGCACCCCGTCCGCCTGGCCGGGATCATACATATAAACAGGCCCTGAGACAAAACCAGATATTTACACATTCCAGCAATTTTGATTATGCAGTGCTGACTGCTGAGAAGTAAAAACTGCCAACTTCTGGGTTGGGGGAGGTGGTAATTTATATTGACTGGTATTGTACACTAAATATTTATGGGGTGCTATGGCTGCCAGTTCTGTCGTCTTTAAAAGAACTGCTAATTCTAAACTGCAGTGATTCAAAACATTGTCCCAGCATGTTCTAGAGATAATGGGTACATACTCATATTTTGGAACAATTTCCAAGGACAAACTGACTATAAAGATCTGTATAAATTTCCATCATAGAAAATGCAATTCACCTTCCTGCAAAAAGGTTAATCCACTTGGAACGTTTTCCGTGGTTGTGGACATTCATTCCACATCGAATGCATCCGCGATCAACATCAGCGATTGCCCAGTTTGTCAAGCAACAACGTTGGCAAATGTTGAAGCTCTTGGAAGGCCTTGGAAAGACAGCAAATATTAACGCTGTTTGCCTCGGTGACTCGCTTTGGAGAGGACGAAAGCAACAAAGAAATTGAGGCAGCCGATGACGATGAACCAGAAGACGAACAGAACGAAACCCTCGTGAACAGTTTGTTAGCAAAAATAAGCATTTTGTGAAGGTCTGACAATCGCCATTTTGCCAACCGGATATGTACAGTAATGAGTGTGTATGAGCACAGTTTATTAACTGTGGTATGAGTCATGCGATACTGTCCTGGATCGTTGTGACGCATTTCCGATGCGAGATGAGATGATATAGGTAATATTTAAAAACATTTCGGCTGTGGTGTGGGGAAATAAGTTTAAACTGCCAAATCTACCAATTTGTTTATGTGTGTGTTAAGATAGTGCAAGTGAGAGTATACTATTTTACGCACGTTAAAACACTGTTATTCAAACATAAATATTTCGCAGTCTAGATCGAATTTAAAAAATCCCCCCAAGGAAATTAAAGAAGAAAGCATGCTTTATCAGAATTTCTCAGTTTTGGAGTAAAAAGTTTAATATCGAATGTCACGAGGGGCGTAGAACAAGGTGTTATTCTCTCACTCCTTTTGTTTATATGTTTCGAATTTCAGGCATTCTGATTGGTCAAGGACGCAAAATGTAAACAAACGTGCTGATTGGCTAACATTATTTACCCTTGTTTCCCAGCTGACAATAGAATTTCACTTAGTTTCTGTCAAGCGGAAATTATCGTTGGGCATATACTTAGCACAGATTTGTGTGCATGTTAGCTGGAAAATCTGAAAAGGCCATTCCTTTCCAATATAAATTCTATCTAAAACGCTTTAGTTTCCCTTCTTCATATGAAAACCGGCCGAAGATATTCGCCCTTCAATATCCCAACAATTTACTTTGTCATGTAAGGGAATTTTCAGGAAACACTTGTCCTTTCACATAAATTTGTGTGCACTGTAGATGGAAATCGGAGATCCATTCAATTCACCATAAAATTCCGCTTCTTTTCATAGTAAACTTCTATAGTCAATAAATTATATCGTTGCGCGTACATATGAGATATGTACACATACAGCTATTTCAATTGAAGTGCTTATAAACCCAAAATGTGTTTTTGGTGATTCGGATAGAGCATAAAAAGTTAGTTAATAAGTTCTGGATTAGTTTTTGTGTTAAACTTTTAGTTTGGGAGATATAACTGCTCAAACATGCAAATTGTGCCATTTTTTTGAAAAAAGTAGCTCCACCAAAATAACACACAGGGGCCTGGATCCAAGGAACCCATCTTCAATAACAACTAGGCTTTTGTATAGAAGAAGACAGCTATCTTAAAGAGTTTTATTGAAAAATGCCCACACAATGTGTCGTTTATGGCTGTTCTAACACTGCAGATACAAGCAATGGTGTCTTTATGTATGAGATACCTTTTTGGAATGAAAACTCGCCCATAACAGCTAAACGAAGGACGAAATGGCTCAACTTTG